TATTATAATAGATACCTTATATATATGTGTGACTATATAACAAATTATATAATCCAATGTATATATAAATACTGCATAGTTTACATAACGATAGCTAGTGTCAATAGGTAAATAATTTACATCTGTATATAATAAATGTCTTATATTTAATACATTGTGTATATTCTATATCCACATGTGAATATATAATTAAATATATATGCAAATGTGTGTTGTATATATAACTCCTAAATGCTATGAAGAAAAATAGAACAAGGTAAGCGAAAATTTGTGGGGACAGTGAGATCAAGGAAGGCCTCGCTGAGAAGGTGATGTTTGAGCAAAAGTGTTTAACACAAAATGCCTTTATCACCTTATTCCAAATTCTGAATCTCATATCCTGTCAACAACCTCCAAATCTGTTCATTTGAAAAAGATTTATTGAATGCCTACTAAGTGCCAGGCACTGGGAACACCACAGAGAACAAAGCAAGGAGTCTGCCCTTCCAATAGTCAAGAACTCTCTTCCATCAGATCTTTTCCTTATTTATCCTTTGCCTCATCTCAGAGAGACCTGCCCTGATACCCCATGGAAAGTAGTCAGGGAATGCTTCTCGGAGGTGGCATGTGAAAAGTGAGGAAGTGAACCATATGTAACATGGGGGAAAGCATTGAGGATAGAGGGGGCATCCAGTGCAAAGCCTTGAGGTTGGAAGTTCTTGGCATGTTTGAGCAACAGCACAGAAGTCTTTGTAGCTGGAGAACAGTGAGGAAGGGAGAGTGCTGCGAGATGTGGTCCTAGGCCATGTCAAGTAGGGCATTGTAAGCCAGGGTGAGATGTTTTTATTCTAAGATCCATGGGGAGCCATTAAAGGATTTTAAGCAGGAGAGTCACATTATATAAATTATATTTTAGAATAAACAACCTGGCTGCTCTGTGTGGTGAGAGAACAAACTAAGGGGAAAGGTGGAAGCAGAAAACCCAGTGTAAAGGCTACTGCAAGATTCAAAGAAATGAGAGAGGATCAGACCAAGGTGGTAAAAGTGGAAGTGGTGAAGTGGTGAAGAAGGATTGGATTTTGGATTGATTTTGAAGGTAAAGACGCCAGGATTTGCCAAGAGATCAGATACAGGGCATGAAAAATAGAGAGGAGTCTTGGCTGACCCCTAGGTTTTTAGCTTGAGCAGCTGGAAGGATGGAGTTGTCATCAGCTGACAAGGGAAATACTCTATTAGGAGCAGGTGTGGGGCAAGAGCAGGAGTTTGTTTTTAGATGTGTTACATTTGAGATGTCTGTTAGACATCCAAGGTCTGGTATGTGTCTGTTGGGTGAACAGTTGGGGACCAGGTCTGAAATTCAGGGGGTGGAAGGAGGTCTGGGCTGGAGATATGGAGACCATCAGGGGTGACAACTGAAGCCATGTGTGTGGACAAGTTCTCTGAAGAATTGATTGCCTTCAAATGGATCAGTGGGAGTAACTGAGCCAGGATTTGGACTTTCCCAAGTGAGAGGGAAAGGCATTCCAGTGGGAGGGAATAGCTTAAGTAAAAGCCTGTGGAGAAAGCAGGGGGGAAGGGTGGGGGCTGCAATACTGGTACCATTTCGCATTGCCTCCAGCAGGAAAGTGCCTTTGGATGTTTGCCAATCCTGTGTCATTATAGTTTGTGTTTTTCTTACTAGGAGTGAACTTGAACATCTTTTCATAGATTTAAAAGGTATTTGCAGTTCTTTTCTGGGAATTCATGTCCTTTATCCATTTTCTATTGGGTTGTTGTACTTAGGATTTTTAGGAACTGTTTATTAGCCTTTTTAAAAAAAATGGAGGCTTGAGGATGGGAGTGATGAGGATGGGAGTGATTCAAACAGTTGTGGTGTGTGACTTGTTCATGTTGCCAAGGTCTGGTATGTGCCAAAGCCTGTTCTAGGTATTAGGGACACAGTAGTGAACAAGGCAGACAAAAGTCCCTTCCCTTGTGGAGCTTTTTCTTCTAGTGAAGGAGACAAATAATATAGAAAAGTAAGGAAATACATAGTATGTTAGAAATTGAGAAGGTGAGAAGCATTATGGAGAAAAGTAAGACAAGGAAGGGGGCATAGGGAGTGTGGCAGTGAGGCTTTGGAATTTGAAATGGGGTAGCCAGGACAGGCCCTATTAGGGAGGTGACATCTGAACATTCAGAGGGCATGTCTCCTTCAGTCTGGAACAGTTCTTCATACTTCCCTTGACCTTCATGACCTTGACGCTTTTGAAGATTACAAGCCAAGAATTCTGTGGCATGTCCCTCAGTTTGGCTTTGTCTGATGTTTCCTCATGGTTAGATTTAGGTTCTGCAGCTTGGATGTGCTGTCTCCTCATTTCATGCTATCAGATGGCTCATGATTTTAGTACTGATAATGTTCACTTTGTTTCCTTCATTAAGATGGTGCCTGCCAGGTTTCTCTACTGCGAAGATACTATTTTTTTTCCTCTTTGGAATTAACATTTATCTCATGGGAAATACTTTGGATCTATGTAAGTATACACTGTTCCTCAATAAAGTGTAACCACTAGTTTTAGCAGCCCTCGATTTTCTAACTCCATCATCGTTCTGTAATTAGTGACATTATACTGGAAAAAAAGCTGTTTCTCTTCTCCATTTGTTTACTCTTTTATTCATTGATTTATATAAGTATGGGTTCATGGATTCTTGAACTATCAAATGCTTTTTCTGTGGTTGAGATTATTATATGTTTGTTTACTTTTGGTCTGTTAATGTAGAGAACTACATATACAAATATAGCTTTCTTTTTTTTTTTAACTTTATTGGGGAACAGTGTGTTTTTCCTTGGACCCATCAGCTCCAAGTCAAGTTGTTGTCCTTCAGTCTTAGTTGTGGAGGGCACAGCTCAGCTCCAAGTCCAGTTGCCGTTTTCAATCTAGTTGTGTGTGGGGGGAGCGGGCGCAGCCCACCATCCCATGTGGGAATCCAACTGGCAACCTTGTTGCTCAGAGCTCCTATGCTCTAACCAACTGAGCCAACCAGCCGCCCCCAGAGTATAGCTTTCTTGATGTTGACACATTTTGCATTCCTGGGATAAACTGTTTGCCCCCAGAGTATAGCTTTCTTGATGTTGACACATTTTGCATTCCTGGGATAAACTGTTTGCCCCCAGAGTATAGCTTTCTTGATGTTGACACATTTTGCATTCCTGGGATAAACTGTTTGATCAAAATGTATATTGTTGGGTTCATTTAGCTAAGATTTTAAGAATTTGTACATCTACAGGTATAAATGAAATGGGCTTGAAATATTTTTTTGTATTATCTCACCTGTTTCCGGGATCAAGATTATACTAGCCTCATAACATAGACATCTTTTGTGCTTTTTCTAATATCTAGAACTTTTGTAAGATAGCAATTAACGGTTCCCTGGAGTTTGGTAGATCACACCTACAAAAACCATCTTGGTCTTTTATGGTGACGAGAAGGGAAGCTTATTATTTCTTCATTACTTTTTGCTTTATTCAAGTAATGTTTCTTCATTACTTGGAACAGTTTTGGCATTTTATATTTTTCTAGGAATGTACTCTAGATTTTCAGATATACTTCCATTATTTTTAAAAGCTCTTGCATCTATAGTAAATTCCCTTTTAATTTTGGATTTGGTTTTTGTGTCTAAATTGATCAGTCTTGCCAGAGGTCTCTTTCCTCTTCATTTTTGTTTCAAAGATTCTGCTTTTGATTTTATTATTCTGCCTTTTCCCCTATTTTATCTATTTCTGCTTATTTCCTTCCTTCTTACTGAAGTTTGCTCTGGTGGTCTTTTTCCAACTTCTTGTATAATTTACATGAGAAAATGCTCAGATTTTTAACTATACAGCTTGTTTAATTTTTACCTAAGTGTACACCTGTGTGACCAGCACCCAAGTCAAGTGATAGAGCCTTTTCATTATTCCAGACAGCTACCTTGCAACTCTTTTCAGTGAATAACAACCTCCCCACCTCCACCCTGCTGACTGCTATCACCATAAATGTGTCTGAGAACTCCACATTAAGTGGACTCATACAGTCTGCACTCTTTTGTCTTTTTCCACTCAACATATTTGTGAGATTCATTCATGTCATTTGTATCAGTATTTTGTTCCTTTTTATTGCTGAGTTGTATTCCATTAAATGAATAGACCATAATTTATCCATCTCTTCTTGTTGGACGTTTGGATTATTACCAGTTTGGGGCTATTATGAATACAGCTGCTATGAATATACATATGACAAGTCCTTTCGTTGACACGTTTGCATTTATTTGGGGTAAATCTAAGAATAGAATTGCTGAGTCATAGGATAAGCATATGTTTACCTTTATACAAAACAGCTCAAGTTTCCAGAGTGGCTGTACCATTTACTACTGGTGACCATGAACGAGGGCTCCTTGTTGGGGCCCTGTGGTAACAGCCCTGGAGAGGATAGGGACACAGGTGGACCCAAATGGGCCTGGTGGGGCATCCCGAGTTCCTCTGTCTCCACCCCTCTCTCGGAATAATCAGCCCGTTAAGGGCACAGGGCAGGGCCCACTGGTGCCAGAGTGCCCGCTGTTGTCCACTTGGAGATGCCCTGGGGCATTGTCCGCAGGCCCAGGGAGGGCCAAGTACAATTTAGCCTTGCTATTTATTATATAGCAAGTGCCGCTGCGAGGTGGCGAGGCGAGGGGATGGAGTATTCGTATTCCTGGCTCTGCCCCAGGGGGACTTCAAGCCTGGCAGTGCCCTGGTGGTGCTGGATTTCCTGGTACAGCATGACCTGCTGGCCCAAACAATGGTGATGGGCTATAACCAGGACCTTATGGGTTGGGGCACAGGCCAGAACCCCATGCTCTGCACTCCCACCCCCACCCCCACTGAGCTGGCAGCCACCATGTACCAGACATTGTGAATGCTAACACTGCCACCCACTTGGCCTGACAAGTCCCCTTGTTTGTGTTTATGTCCCTGTGTCTGTGTGGGCCACAAACCATGCTGGGATATGAGAAAGAGGCATGTAAGCTGCGGACTTTTCAGCTTTTATTACAAAAAGAACATATTCCAGCCCAGTTTTCCAACAGAAGTCACCAACTCAAAGTCTGACTTGGTCAGGGCCTCTCTGGTTGGGGAGTTGGCTGGTAGATGGTTGCAGAGCCCCATTCAGATGATCTAACAATTCATCCTCTCCTGCCTGAGGCAGGACTACTTCTATACCCAACAGATATAGAAGTAGCTCTTGCAGCTCCTCACTGGGCCTCGTTGAAGCGGGTGACCATTGTCTTGTGCAGTGTCTCCTTGTAGGACTCGGTTGAGGTGACCCCGTAGGAGCTGCCTCGGGCTCCTAAGCCGGAGCCCCGCACCCGTGTCTGGGCCTGTATGAAGGAGGCAGGCTCTTTCAGGGGGGCTGGGGGTGAGGCAGGGCTGCAGTGCAGAGCTGAAGGATGGAGATGGGATCACGGAGACTCACCTCAATGGGTGTGACAATGCCCTGCTTCTTTCGGCCCAGGCCACTGCCCTCTTTCCAGCCCATGGCCTGGAGCATGCGACTGCCAATGTTGTCACTGCCCAGCCCATCCCGTGTGGGCTGCTCAAAGTCCCTGCAGAGGACAGTGGTACAGAGTGAGTGACTGGCCTGACAGCCTCAGGCCCCCCACCTGGCTCTGGGCACTCACACGGAAGCTGCAGACATGCCACCATACTTCCTCCTCTTGGGCTCCGGTGGCTCAGGGATACCATACTTTTCTCTGCGTTCAGCTGCGCGGTCCCGGTACTTCATTTGCTGAAAACGTGTGTGTGTGAGAAAATGGGGGAGCTGGTCACTATTGGCAGGAAATATGGGCACAGATGGGTGGTGGGGTGTCCCATGGGGAGCTGGATCTGACTAACAGGTCTGAGGTCCTGAGGGTAGGACATCATAGGCACCAGCAGCCAGGCTGTACCCAGCTGAGGAACTTGAGCACTAGCTGCCTCAGGGGATGGGCACTTGGCAAGGGACAGGGGATGGAGCCTGGGAGTGGGTCACACCTCACCTCCATGTCATTCTTCTCAAGTGCTTCTAGTTCATTTTCTGATAGGTGGGCTCGCCGGTGAATCTCAAGGTTTTGCTGCAAGAGGACACGAAGAGTGAAATGGCTGGGCCGGGCTGGGCCGGCCCAGTGTTCCCTGCCAAGCCTCCCTCAGTCACCTTGTGGAGCCCGGAGAGCTGCTGGTGCCGGATGAGCGCCTCCTTGCTGGGGAACTGGCGCCGGCAGAGCAGACAGGCCAGCTTCTGCCAGTCAGTGAGCTTCTCCTCCCGCTCTGGGCCCCCTCGCTCCTGCTCCTCCTCACTGTCACTCTCCCCGCTGTAGGCTGCCACCAGCCCCCGAGGTGGGCTCTGCAGAAGGTGGGAGATCAGGCCTGGCAAGATCAGAGCCCCCCCGCCGCCCCTTTCTGTCCTGGGCACTCACTGGACGATCCTCACTGGTCAGTTTCGGGAGGTCCATGCTGGTGTGCTGTCTCTCAGCTAGTGCTCCCTGGGGTGGAGGGATATAGAAATTCAGGGACTCCAGAGAGGGGCTGGAGGGATGATACGATTGGGGTGGGCTGTGAGGACGGGTGGCCATAACACACCTTCTTCTCCAGGATGGCATAGCCAGCATCTGCGGTGGCCGACTCCCGCCTTTCATCGTCTCGCAGGGAACTGATGGGCTGGAAGCTGTTTTTGAAGTTTTCTTTTTGCTTGTTCAGACTGCGGGCCCAGCGTTCCATGTCCTTGGCAATCTAGGGGTGAGGGGTGGTGGTGAGACTCTCAGGAATCCACCAACTCTACTGCCCCACTACCCTTGCAGCAGCCCACCCCACCCTGCACCTCAAGCAGAGGTGTGAAAGGCAGCAGTGAAAGTTCCCATTTCTCTATCATACTGTCATTGGTGCTCATCGAGCCCCTGTCTGGCTGTGACCTCATTCTCCTGACAGGCACCCACACTATTATGTTCCCTATGTCTTCATTTATCAATCCAAAATGCATAAGATGGCTTTCTCTGTCAATAATTTTAATTCACGTGCATGATATTATGTTACATTTCATATTATATTCAATTTCCCCCATAGGCACAAAACCACTTTTAGAATTTACCAGGTCACCAAGTTTTTGCTTCTAAGGCTACACCCAGACTGTTATTCTGTTCCTCTACAGACAGACCCTGAGGTTCCCTCCAACTGCCCACTGCCACAAAATACTGCAGTGGCTGTTCTCTTGACCACCCCTGCTGAGACTGTGAGAAGTTCTCTGGGATGTATCTACATGTAGACACAGACACCCCCCCCCCACGAATGGGGTTCCGGGCCCAAAGGAGTACGCACACCCATTTGTCTCCACAGGCAGGGCTAGCCTGGCTTCAGGCATGCGCGCACCAGCCCACATGCCCAGCAGCAGCATGAGGGTTCCCAATGGAGGACAGGAAAGCTGACGGGGCTCGTGTGGATGGCACTGGCCACCTCAGGGAGGTGGGTGGCCCTGCCCTGTACCGAAGAGGTCACGCAGCGAAGAGCAAAGCTGGACCAGGAGCCTGGTCTCCCTTGAGCAGTTACTGCCTACATACACATCCAGTCCCCACCCTGCTCCCTCAGCAGCGGAGGTGACAGGTGACAGAAATGCAATCCCCAGAAGACACAGACTAGCCAGCTGGTGGCTGCTGGACTCCGGAGTTCACCTGCTGGGCTGTCTTGGTCTTGTGCTTCTCTTTCTTCTCTTTGCCCTCCTTGGAGGGCGCCCCTGTCTCCTTATGCCCGTCGGCTGACTGCTCCAGGGCAGGAACGTAGGTCCGCCTTTCCCCATCCCAGTACAGGTACTGCTGGCTCTGAGCATTGTAGTAATACTGGGGTGGGGGGAAAGGGGGCATGAGCGAGGACCTCGAGAAGGGGAACTGCAGACCCCACCTGCTCCCTGGGCTGCTCCATCACCTGAGAGTTGGGGTCATAGTAGAGGCCAGTCTGAGGATCATAGTAGTAGCCGGATGTCTCATCGTACTGGTAGGTGGAGACGTCAGGAACAGCTGGGGAGTAAGAAGGGGGGGGGGTCACACCACTCCCTGCTTTGTTAAAGGAACTCCCCACCACCTACCCATCCGCAGGCTGGGGTTACTCACGGTACTGGCTATAGGACTCCTGGGAAGTGGGGCTGGTGGCTGGCGGCAGGGTAGAGCTGGGATGGTTAGGGCTCTGCAGCTCAGACTTGAGCACAGCAGGTGATATGATGGTGTATGACTGGTCATGGGGCCAGACAGGGAAACAGGGCTCAGTGTCGGCCCATGCCCACTGTACCCACCCCTCCAGGATTTCCCTTGAGCTCCCTCACCTGGCTGTTGGCAGCAGCGCCTTGGCTGCTGCTTGCCTCGGTTGCTGACTGCTGGTAGATGCCAGGGGTGGCACCAGGTTGGGCACGGGAGAAACCCTGCAGTGACACAGAGTCCGCTCCAGGCTCCAGGGAGGCCTCAGTGCCTGTAAAGAGGGAGAGAGAGGGAGGAGAACGCCTGTGAGCGACAGGGCCCAGGAGCCTCTGCCTGCTGGCCCCCACGTGGGATTGAAGAGAGATGCTATGCTGGGGATTACCTGCTCCAGCTGCATCCCCTTTGGTTCCAGTGACGCTGGGGCCCTTGGTGCCCTTGAGGTAGCCATGGGCATAGAGGGAGGACTCTGTGCCCTGGCTGCCGCCATAGCCCTCATCCTGTTGGTAGTAGCTGTAGTCGACCGGTGGCTCCTCGGGGGTGGCCCAGGCACCCTCCCCACCCTGGGAGGCCTGAGGGGCAGGGGGGAGGGGCTCATTAGCAGAGGAGGGGGTGCTGGGGGAGGGGAGCCTGCTAAGAAGCGACTGCCCACAGGTGAGGCTGGTCTGTCTCCTGACAGAAAGCATGCAGCCCTCAGACAAGTGAGACGCGAGGGCTGCCTGGCCACAGCAGAGCAGGGCAGCAACAGAAACCAGACAGGAACAAAGACTCATGCCAAAACGCTCCCGGGGCTGACACTGTGCTATGTCACTGTGGTGTGTTGTGTGGCCTGTGTGTTGGGCATCAGACCAAGGGAGATGCCATCCTCCCTACTTTAGTCTCATTTCCCAATTTTCTTTCAGCCAATTATAAATTCCTTTTTATTACAGAAGTTCTAACAACTCAGGACAATAAAATAACCACCAAACGGGAGAGAAAACTAACCACGATGGCATTGAAAATGAAAGCCCGGGATGAGGGGACTGGGAAGGGAGCTGTAGCAAGGCCCCCGGATCCCACAGCAGCCACTGGGAGAGGGTTCTGGGTTCGCAGAAAGCCAACACAGCAAACGAGCCCTCCTGTTTGCAGAGAGGGTGAGGGAAGGTTGAGGCGGCCCAAGTATCAGGATGCTGGGGCAGAAGGGAGTCTTTGAGTACCTGTGAGATGGCCCACTGGGCCGCAGCGATAGCAGTGCTGGCCACAGAGGCAGCATTGATGCGACTGCCCTCATTGGAGGCCATGTCCCTGGGGAGGATGTCAGAGACTGGGAGTGAGATGGGGGGCCCCCAGCTGGGGGACAAACTGGGAAGGGACATAGGTGGGGATCTGACCTCTTAGAACCCTTGGCAAATTCAACATTGATGGTCTTGCCATCGATGGTGAGCGGCGGGTGCAGGGCCTGCAGGATCTGCAGCAGCTGGGCTGCCTCCTGGGGGAGGAGGGGAGGCAGGGGCAGAAGGGTCAGGCCCGGGGAGGTCCCCGGCTCCATTGCCCCATTGCCAGGCATGGGGCCGCGGTGGGGGGCTGGAGTCAGGGTCCCTCCTCCCCACCCCGGGGGCCGGGACCCTGGCTGCCCGGCCCCCCCTGTGCCGCCCTCACCACGATGGTGGAGAGCTGGATGAAGGCGAAGCCACGGTTCAGTTGGGTCTGCTTGTCCTTGATGACGCGTACATTGGAGGAGGATAGCACTGCGTAGGGTGCCAGGGCCCCCAGGATAGAGTCCATGGTGCTGTGTGGGTTCAGGTTGCGCAAAATGATGGCTGTGGGAAGGGGCCCAGCATTAGGGGTCACCCTTGAACTCTGCTCCAGCCCTACCCTCTGGTGGCTCCCCACTGCCCCCTCTCCTCTGGCCTCCACATCTTTGCACCTGCTGCCTCTTCTCACCTCTTCTTCCTGGACAAACTGCTTGTCAGTTCCAAGTCCCAGCTCAGTTGCTCACCTGCCGAGACCTTTCCCAACACATACCCCAAAGTCTAGTTGGGTTATACTCCTTCCTGCTCTCCCTGTCTGTCACCCCACCAGGCAGAGACCCCTGGGAGGATTAAGTCCTGGTCACCACCATCTTTCTGGCCTTGGAGAGCCCAGCCCAGACACCCTAGGGCAGGAAGGAAGAAGGAACAACTGACTCACTGTCGTTGGCGTTCTCCGAGCTTGGCTCTGAGCCCTGTGACAGGGTTTGGGAGGCCAGCACTCCCTGGGCCTGATAGGGCTGTGGCAGGGGGAGCAGGCCCTGGCTCAGCTCCCGTCCTCCCAGTGGAAGCGTCTGCTGATCCAGCCTCGTGCCCAGGGGCAGCTTCTGCTCTGCCTCTGTCAGGGGTGGCAAAAGACAAGCTGGTGACCAAGGGGAGGCTCCAAGCTGGTCACCCTCCTTGCAGAGCACTGGCTCCTCAGCCTTCTCCCCTCTCCCACCAACGCCTGAGGGGGCGGGAAAGCACGAGGGCCTCACCTGACTTGGGCACACCACATTTGAAGCACTTCTCGCGGCGTTTGAAGTTCTGGACGCCACACTGTGAGGCACACACCAAGCCATCAGAGAGGGTGGGGCTATCCATGGCACCCCCAAACTTGGATCCAGAGACCCCCCCCCAGGGAACCCAGCCATGCCCCAGGGAAGGGAGGTCCCAGAGTCAGGGGAGGCAGGGGGCTTTGGGGTTCTCGCTGTCATTCTCAAGCCTGTGACTCTCCCCTTTTCGAGGTCTCAAATTTGTCCTCAGTGCCACCTTCTCATCTCAGGAATCAACAACTTCCCCACTCATTACAACTGCTGCCTCCTCTGTGGTACCTACTCTCAGTACTGGCCCCCCAACGATGTCCCTGTAGTAGGTGCCTCTTCTCAAAACTTGTTTTCCTGTTCAGACACCTCCACCATTTCTATCCCTAAAAGCCAGGAATGCCTCTGTTGCCAGACTCCCACCCCTCCTTTATCTCAATGATTGGGTTGGATCCTGCTGCTCTCTGCCTTGGATATTCCAGCCTCCAAAGACCCCAGCTTCCACACTGCTGTCTGTTCTAAGGTCAGATACTAAGCACGACTCCTGTGCCAGGCTCTGCTCCGCATGCCAAGGAAGCGGCCTCAGCCCTCATGGCCCACCAGCGGGAAGCAGACATAGCACAGACGGACAGGTTACTCTGTGGGACAGTCACCAGCAGGGACTCAGGAAAGGGAGTGGGTCAAGAGGGGCACTGCTCACTCGGCCAGGGACAGTCAGCAGGGATGTTTTATCTGGGAGACCCAGAAGTCTGGTTTGGTGTGGCTTTGCTGGGAAGCGATTGCTAACAGAGGGATCAAGAGGTTTTCCACAGCTGGTGTAGGAGGGTGAGCAGAGAGGCCAAAGCCAAGGTTAGAGAGGGAAGGTGAAGCTAGATCATGGACGAGCATCCTGCTTTAAGCTCAGAGCTGTGGGGGTTTTTAAGCAGAGGAAGAGTGACATGGTCATAGGTGGTTCTGAGGAATGTTACAGGTGAGAGGGCAGGAGAAGGAGGCCAGAGGCCAGCACACCAGAGAGGGCTCTGAGGTGACTGTCTGGGGGAGTGGGTGAGGACTGGCCTGCAGTGGGAAAAGCCAGGGAGGGCATTTCTGTGATGGGAGTGACAGGACTTGGTGACCAACAGGATGTGGGAGGTAAAGGAGGGGAAAGTAGAGAATTCCCTGGTTTTGAGGAGTGTCTGAAAATAAAGGAAATATAGGAGGGATGGAGTTCCACTGTCACTTTGTCCCTACCTCTCCAGAGACAGTGGACTCCCACCTTCTGATATTACTTTATTTTTTTTAACAAACAGGTGCCACTCCCCTTGCTAGGCAAAGTCCAGCCCTTAGGTGTCAGGACTGCCAGCCGGCTACAGGTGAGGCTGTGCCCCAGGGGAGACCTGAACCCACCATGGCATCCATGGCCCCTGTGATCAGGAGCAAGTCATGGCTTAAGGCTCACCCATGGTTCCATCTCTCTTGAGCCTCAGGTTCCTCTTCTGGAATATGAATGCAAAAGCCTATAGCCTGTAACCTGTCTCAGGTGGACATCGTTTTGTCAGAGTGGCCTTCAAGGTTGGGCCATCTGACACAAGCTCTCAGAACATCCCGTGCTTTCCTTCAGAATAACAGCTGACATTAAACGGTGCTAACTGTGGGCCACGTGTTGTTCCAAGTGTTACCCTCTCATCCCCACATTTTAACCCTCCCAACCACCTCTGGGGAGAGGTGTCATTACTATTTGCATTTTAGAGATGGGAAAGTGAAGCAGGGAGGGGTTAAGGGCCCTGATCAAAATCAAGGCAGATCTGGGAGAGTCTAATTTCAACCAGTCTGCCTCCGAGGTCCACATTTTACACACCGCGTTCTGCCTCCACTGTCACTAGTGAGTCATTTATGTAAATATTTGTTGATCGTCTACTGGGGCTTCAAGCAAGATAGTGCTTCATGCGGGCAGAGGCTGAAACTGAGTGAAAGCTCAGTACACATTGGTAGGTGGGTGGGTGGCAAGGAACCATAGCTCCTTGAGCTGAGCCAGTCCTCCACACCACCGCGGAGGCCCCAGGAAGACAGACGTTGCCATCACTGCTGCTGTCTCACTTCACGGTAACTGCTGCCCACCGCCCCTGTACCTTATTACATAGCCAGTCCTCATTGATCTTGGGCTTGGGGTCGCTGTAGTGCATGGATACCTTCTGGCCCAGGATGTTGAGGGAGTGCTGTGGGAAAAAGCAGAGCTGAGTGAGGCCCAGGCAGCAGTGCCCCACGCACCGTTTCAGCACAGGAGAAGAGAGTGAGCGAGCCCTTCAGCTGGATGGATGAGGGACAGGGAACGGAGGGAGGTCGGAGAACGGACGAGGGAAGAAGGAAGGGAAGGAGGGAGGGAAAGCGCCACAGCCCTCGGGCGCAGCTGTTTGCTGCCTTTCAGGGCACGTGCACGCACACGTGAACACACGCCACCAGGCACACAGTGCTCGGCTGACCGATGCTTGCCCGACAGTGGGGAAAACCCCCCACTCGGCTCTGATACTGCCAGGCCACACCCAAGGCCAGCACTATACAGGCTACATTTGGGATGAGAGGGGATGGGAAGGGAGGGAGAGGAGGGGGGAGAGAGAGAGAGAGAGAGAGAGCGCACGCACACTAGTGCTGGAGAAGGGGAAAAAGAAAGAGCCATATTGAAAAGATGGAAGTTCCTGCTGGGAGGCTGTCTTCCTGTGGCTGGCTGGGTCCTCGGCCCATGGCACTAGCCTATGGACCGGCTGAGAGCTCCAGGGCCGGCCCTACCGAGCCCCCTTCTAGCACATCTGCCCCTCCTCCCGAGGCTTTCTTTGCGTGTCGCACACCAGTGTGCAAGGCTCTGGGTGGGCAAGCAGAACAGATCCTTGGGTCTCTGAAGGTCCCAAAGCTGCTCGGTTGGGAGACCATGTCAGGCTTGGGGAGCAGGCTCCCTTCCTGGTGGCATGGCTCCTTGCTGAGAGGGCAGGCCTGCCCCCAGTGGAGTGGGGCAAGTGGTGATTCCAGTGTGTGGGGGGGTAGATGCAGTGGGAGGGATGGGGCAATCAGGTGAATCCTGGTGAATGAAACTGACACTTGACTGGTACTTTAGATCAACAGAGCAGTGCTGGCCTCTTATGTGGGAATCAAAGGGCCGAACTCACATGCAGGGAGAGCTGGCAAAACGGGACTTGCTAGTTAGTATGCCAACAGCTAAGTTCCCCTGTGGTTGGATTTTCAGCGTTGCCTGGGAGTGGAATGAAGTACTCGCTCTGTCTAACCCCAGAGCAGGGCAGTCCCCCAGGGAGTGGGAACCTAGGTGGAAGACCCCCCTGGTAGCCCTTTCTCTGAAAGCTCAGCCGGGAGAGGTGGAGGGGCAGAGCTAGTGGCAGCAGGAGAGGCAAATGGTGAGTGTGGGTTCTTGACGGGCAGCCCAGTGGGTAGTGAGAGATGGGAAGAGGAGATAGTGAGGGTCAGGAAGGGGGAGAGATAGGGGCGGGGGGATGGGACACAGGGCCACAGGGCAGGGAACTGTGTCCATAAGAATCAGGCGATGGGGAGCGCTCGATTACAAAGTAGTATTTGTTTGGGGGAGGGGTTCAAGTGCGGCAAAGCAACCTGATTGGCTTCCATCCATCGTGTAGCGTCCTGCAAGTGACTAAACTCGACGAAGGCGAAGCCCCGGCTCTGACCTGGAGACAGCATTCAGATACAGACGCAGTGGGTTAGTCAACAGCTTTGGACACACGGCGTTCCCGGGGGCGGGACCCGAAGGGAAAGGACGGGGGCAGAGAGGGAAGGCGGGAGAGGAGAAAGGAAGAAAGGAAGAGAGAGAAGCAATCAGAGAGAGAAAGACTAGGGAGTGGGAGGCAAGGTAGATGCCTGGGAGCGGGAGGAAAGGGAAGGAGAAGGGAGGAAAACAGACCCGGAGAGAGGTGGGTGGGTGGGGGGAGATACACACACGCCAGCTGGGAAGAAAGACAGAGAGATGGGGCTTGGGCAGATGTGCCTGGCCAGCCTGGGGTGACAGAGACAGAGAGAAGGAGCTGGGAGGCAAAGGGTACAAGTACAAGTCTACCTCCAGAGAAGGAAGAAGGGCAGATGGGCAGGCTGCTGGCTCCACATGGGCCAAAACAGCCAAGGGGCGGGGCCCAGCACAAAGCCCAGGGGCCCCCAGGAGGGGCCCTGTAACTGGTGTTTAATCAATGGAGCAAAAGAGAACCTGGGCTGGGCTGCTCAGTGAAGCTAGGAAGTCTCCTGGCCCACCAGGATCAGGGGGTTTAGGGACATAATGTCACCTCAGCCTCACCACAGTGCACGAGAGATGGGCCTCATAAGGGAGCCACCTCAGGGCCAAGCAGAGAAGATTACAGCCACCCACAGTCCAGATCCTCTTACATAGCAGGAGAATGAGGGCCAGGATTGGCCAGGTGGACCTTAGAGTAAAGAATCAGTGGGTGTCTGGGAGAAGCGCCCAGGGCCACAGAGGGGGCTGCACTTGGGATACCACATTGGGGAGAGAGAGATCACAATCATGGCAACATTTGGTTTGGCTGGGGTGAAGCAGAGCAAGACGTGCATGCTACCAAGAGAGACTCAGGCCTGGCCAGGGCTGGGAAAGGGACCCAGGGCTTGAGGCCGCAGGAAGCAGATCTTCCTTTGGAGGGGTACAAACAGGGAGGGCTTAGATGTGGCGGGGCTTGGGGGGTGCATGCTTGATCTCTAAAAGAACCATTAGGATGCACAGGAGGATGGAATGGTATGATGAGAGAGAGAGAGAGAGAAAGAGAGAGAGAGAGAGAGAGAGAGAGAGAGAGAGAGAGAGAGAAATGGAGGTGTGGGGAGGAGAGAGACTGAGAAATGGAGAGAGAAGCCCAGGCAGTGAGGCCCCGCTGTGCCTGCCTTGGGGAGCCTGGGCCAGAGATCCTGCAGAGACAGCTTTCCCCCCACCCCCCAACTACCCTCAGGCCAAGTCCAAGCAGCCTGCAAGAGGGAGGAAGGGGACAAGTGAGGCCAGATGTCCTGGCTGCATTTTGGGATGAGCCCTGGGACAAGAGCCATCCCCTGCCTCCCCTCTTGGAATACATGGGGGGCAGTGTCAGGCCTGCTTTCTGGTCAGAGGCTGTTACCAGAAAAATATAGGGGAGAGTGAGGGCAAGGGAAGGAGAAGAAAGGAGAGGGAAGGGAGCATATGGGGGGGTTACCATCTCAGATACTCAAGAGTCCCAGAGAGGAGGTTCCCTGGAGCCTGGCCCTGGCCCTGCCCCCAGGAAGCGCTCAGCTCAGAGCCACAATCCCTCCCCAACAGCCCCACACAACAGGCTGCTGGCTGGAGCTGTGAGGAGAGTGGGATGAGGGGGAGAGAAAAAGAGGGGTACCCCCAAGCTGCCCATTCCCAGCTGTGGCAAGAAGGCAGGGTAGGGAAGGGTGTGGAGGAGGCTGAGGCAGGAGGGAGACTTGGAAGCGGAGGCTGGCCAGAGGAAGAGGAGGGCACTGGGAACGAAAGCTCACCTGAGGATTTGTTCCGCATCAGCCGGACCTCCCGGGCAAGGACGCCATGGGACTGCAGCTGGCCACGGATCTGCATGGGGAGATACAGATTGGGGTAGGCTCAGCATAAGGGGGCTCCTGAGGAGCTGAGGCCGGCTGGAGGCCTCCAGGGCCCCAAGGGGCCATTGGTGATGTGCAGACACTGTCTCCTCTCTCTCTCAGGGCTTTTCCCCGAGTGACCACTTTGGTCCCTGACTTGCAGCGAGTCAAATGAAGAGCGGGGCATGATGCAAGGTGAAGCATGGCAGCGTGATGACCCTCAGGGGTGGAGAACAGTAAGAGAGCAAGCGAGCCCACAGATCAAGAATGGTGGGCAGGGGCGGTCTGACAACAGCTTTGGTGCAGCCACAAAGCGAGGACAGCTGGGATGCAATTCTGGCCCTTTGCAAAGGGGCTGCCCTCTGTTTGAATCAAGAGACCCATGACACAAATATGAAACTGGGAGGGACTGGGGTCTGAGCAAACCCAACCCACGTGCCCTAGACCCTGAGTGGAGCAGTAGCTTGGGGCAGAGACAAAAAGGCGTGGCTGTGGGGTTTGGAAAGCTTCCTGGATGAAGTAAGCCAGAGGGAAGCTGCAGAGGCAATTTGGGTATCTAGGCCAGTGGTGTGTCTTGCGGAAGACTAGGAGCCTGTGCTGGGCATTCTCAGGCAGCAGTCTTAATGCCTCTGGGCCTCAGTTTCCGTATTAGGTTACACAACAAAAAGGAGATTAAACACACATACACACTCTCTTGTCTCTCTCTCACAAACACATACGTGCAGGAGGATGAAAAGAAGGACAAAGAGGAGTTTTATTAGGACCACAAACATGCAGGGAGGGCTCAGGAAACAATAAGAATGCGGGCTCTGGGGCCCAGCTGTCCAGTTTCAGACCCCCAACTCTGCTCTGCCACTCACTGGCTGTGGGACCTGGGGCAAGTCGCTTCACTGCTGGGGGCCTGGCTTCCTCATCCATAGGATGGAAATATCTTTCCTGCAGGGTGGCTGATTAAATCAGACTTGGCGTGTGGCCCACCCTATGATAAATCCTCAAGAAATGTCAGCACTCCGCTACTGTCTGACCCTGAACAGGGCAGGTGGGTCAGACTTGAGAAGGTTGCAAATACACAGGTGGGATTTTCTCTGTGACAAAATGGGTAGCTGGCAGATTTCAGAGGAGAGCTGAGCAGAGAATCCATGGGCGGGGAGGAGAAGGAGGATAATCAGGAAGGCTATTCTAGTGGCCCTTTTGAGGTTTTACTGGGGCTCCTTAAGGTAAGTCTGTAGGAGAAGGAAACAGAACAGGAAGGAAGATGGAAGGGAATGCCAGGAGGGAAACAGGGTGGCAAAGCTGTCAGCAGCAGTGAAGGAGGTCAAAGAAAAACCCAAGGCTCTGTGGCCAGGCCAGTGAGGAGATCTGACGTTGGTGACAAAAGAGGGTGAGGCGAGGTGACAATAAAACCTCAGAAAATCCCATGAGGACTCTCCCCACCCACATCATTTCTGCCATCAGCATGCCCGGCATTGGGCCTGGCCAGTATGTGGCCCTCGATCAACATTGCAGAATGGATGGATGACCAGTGGAATGTGCGGGAGGAATGCTCTGGTCCCTCCCACAGCCACCACCGGCAGCCCCTTGGGCAAGCCAACCTACTGGACACCCCTTCCTTCTAGACCAGGAGACGACAAGGCATGCCCCAGAGGACAGATCAGTGCTGGAGGAAAGGAGCCAGTGGGGAGAAGAGATGAAAGATGCTGAGGTCAGGGGTGAGTGAGAAGTTGAGGGCCCTGGAGGAGACCCAGCCTGGCCTCCTGCTCTGCCACCTGCCCAGGGCCATGGGGGGCACGTACGTCATCCTCAGTGGCTGCCTGTGGCAGCATCCTCAGCATGACGATGTTACTGGCCTTCTCCTCCTCCTCCTCCTCCTCATCCTCCTCCTCCTCCTCCCCTTGCTCGGTCCGATAGTCCTGGTCCCGATAGTCGCCGTCTCGGGGGAAGCCTGGCGGGCCAGTGGGGCTGTGCCTGTGCCGCCGCCGCCTCCTACGCTGAGTTTCGGAGCCCGGGGAGGCCTCGTAGGAATCCTGGCCGACAGAATGAGACGAGAGACACCAGACGGGCAGTCAGTCTGGGGTGGGCCTAGGGGCTGGCCGCTGGCTCTCTGAGGCAGGCAGGCTCTGAAAGCCAGGGGTGGGCGGGCTCCGGCTAAAGGCTAGGGCAGGCAGGGTTGGGTAGGCTTTGGACTGCAAACTTCTGGAGTTGGAAATTCTCTCTGGGACGCTTTTGGGGGCTGCCTTGGTGGTGTGGGGATAAGCTGGTGGCAGTGCTGGTGTTTGGGAGGAACTCCCACAGATAGGTGACCAGACATCACTTAAACCTTGGGAGGAATTGGTCTGGGGCTGGCACACTAAACCCTGCCCTCTGTTTCTCCCCCCTCCTCCCTCGCCAGCTCAGCTAGTATGTGCACAATTGGTCCTTGTGCCACAGAAGGCTACAAATATTGCTTATGATTCCCAGCCTGGGTCTAGGCCCTGCAACCAAATTGTGGGTATAGGAATAGCTTAAGATCTTGGCTATAGCCAGCCAGCAGGGATTGGTGAATGTGCAAGGGTTACAGCACTGCCCCCTGGTTCCTGATCCTTTGCCTGGCCAGTCCTCCATCAGCACCAGGCTCCCTCCTAACAGGGTGTGGTCACTGGGTTCTTGGGTGTTACCCAACCAACCAACACTTCCAGGACTAAGCAGGCCAGGCCTGGGTCCACACCCTTCCTGCCCTTAGAGGGGCCAGAGATAACTTAGTGTTCCAGTCCTACTCTTCCCAACCCAGCTGCCACTGGGGAAGCTTTAACTGCCTACCACAAGGGTCTTTGCACTGGACCCCCCAAAGGGAGGCCAGAGGCCGACTCTGCCCCTGGAGGGGCTGAGGTTGCAAGAATACCCTCCCCACCCCACTGAATAGGAGAGCTGTCTGCTTGCCTAGACCATGGCCTTGACCACCCCATCAAACCAGGGTTTCCCTAAGACAAGGCTGCTTCTTCCCTTCAGCTGCGGGGCTCCCTGATGGTAAGCATGATGCCTCCCTCCTCAGGCTAGGGCTCACTACCCAACATGGGACTCAGGGGAGAGGCCTGAGAGAGTCTTTCCCTTCCGTCTAAGAGCTCTGCCACCACTGGGAATGAGCACAGTTGGACTCCCAGAGCTGCTCTTCTTGGTGATATGTTCTCCCAGTTGCCTTCCCAACCCCAGACACCGGCTGCCATGTCAGAGGCTCTTCAAGGGCCCCATATTGGCTGGGAGAAGGCAGTATAGGGCTTGCAGTGACCCATGGCCCCAGAGTGAATACTGGGGAAGGAGGGAAACAGGTGGCGGCCAGGGGCCCTCACAAGTATAGAGCCAAGCAGGGAGACCCAACTTGGGAGAGGAGCCCTCAGAGGGGGAGTGGGGACAGATCCTCCAGGTGAGGCAAAGCCACTGAGCATAGTCCAAAGGCACAGGAGCTGAGAGCTACCTGCAGCCAGACAGAGGCCCTGCAAGAGCCCCCCCACCCACCCCAGGCCGGACTAGCCCTCCTGCCCTCACCTCTGCACTCTGCTCCTCGGATGAGTCATCATAGTCATGCTTGCCCTCCTGGCTGCCATATTCGCGGGGGTATGAGCGGTAGTCCATGTCCCGGTAGTCGTGGTCCCGGCTGCGGTTTTCCCCACTGTCATCCTGCGAACGGTCAGCGGCTCCATAGCGGCCAGTCCTGTCTCCACGGCCACCGCTGGGGGAAGAAGGATGGGAGGGATTAAGAGCGCAGTCCTTTCTGAAAGGCGCAAGGGGTGAGGCTGACCCCCACTCACTCACTCCTTCTAGACCCTCAACCCCACACCTAAATCCTGACCCCGTGGGGTGAGCGGGCTCCCACCTCTCTCGCAAATCCAATCCACTTCTCTCCTTACCTTCCCCACCTCTCTAGTCCATGCTGTCTTCCTTCACTGGGCCCTTGGGTGTGGCCTCCTGACCTCTACCAAGGCCCTCCATCCCAGTTCATTCTCTACGCCCCAAATGTGAGTGAGTGCTCTATAAGGCAAAGCCAACTGGGCCCAACTGTATAGCTCCCTTCAGTGGTTCCCTCTTCGTCTCAGGATAAAACACCAAAATGCTCACCGAGGTCCTACAAGGTCTGCTGGGCCCTGCGGGCTGACTCCCTACCGACCTCTCTCTCTCTCTGCCTCATCGTGCACTGTGCCACCCTGCCCCTGTGGTTCATGGTCACCTTGCTGGCACTAGCAGCTGTTTTGTTAAAATTTCTCCTACTGCAATAACTGTAAAATAATTACCTCAAAGTTGATTTAATGTACATTTCTTTGATGATTTAAAAAATTACTAGACTGTGAGTTCTGGGAAATGAAGAAACCACACCTGTTTGGTCACTGCCCTAGTACCCAAAGCTTAGCTTAGTGCCTAGTACTCAGCAGGTACCCACCAATTATTTTTTAATAAAATAATGATTTAAAAAGTATTCTAAAAGTAACTAATATACACTTACTTAAAACAAGGAAAAACAGGCACCATAGTAGACTACTACTAGCAGGCACCCAATCCGGGTAGGAACGACATTAGAATGTCCATTATCGACCACATTATGAACATTATTTTAAGATATTAGCTGAAATAGTTAAACAAAGGAACAAAGAAAAGAGGTTAAAAGCTGGAAAGGAAAAGGTAAAATTACCATTATTTGTAAATGATATGATATACTTACAAAGCCTTAGAGAATCAACTAAAAAATGATTACAAATAATAAATCAGTAAGGATGCTGGATACAAAATTAATATTCAGAAATAAATACCTTGCCTGTCTTTAGAGAGCCACTGTTTAGAAAATAGGAAGATCCCAAGTACAATTACCTGGACATGTGCAAGATCTTATGACTATACTTCACACATATAAAGCAGGATACATTTGAAATGGGTCAATGATTTAAATGGAAGAAACGAAATGATAAAAGTAGAAGAAAACATGGGATTATTTCTTGATAATCTCGAAATGCGGAACACTATGACCCAAATCCAAAAGCCATGGAAAAAATTATTAAATTTGACTATGTAAAAATAAAACATATCTGCTTGGAAGAAAAAAAACCCCACCATAAGTCAAGTCAAGACAAATGATAAACTGTGAAAAAATATAGGAAAAGGTAAAAGGAACAGAATTCACAGTAAAGAAATATAAATGGTTTATACTTGAAAAGATGGCCTATCTCAATCATAATGAAAGATGAAATTTAAAACTACACTGGATAGACCATTTTTAAATAAATGTTTAAAATTTATTTTTGTACATTTTTCTAAATCATTTTTATTGTGCCAAAATATACGTAACAAAAATTTACCATTTTAACCATTTTTAAGTGTTCAATTCAGTGGCACAACGTACACTCACACTCACAATGCTGTACAACAACCATTACCACTATTTCTAGAACTTTTTTTTTAGCTGAGCCATCCTGCCGCCTGTTGGCATCTCAGCAGCAGCTCTCCTTGGGCTGGGACTCGAACCGCTGTTACTCAGAGCTCACACTCTTGAGCGAGCTCTTAACCAACTGAGCCACTCGGCCGGCCCTAGAACCTTTTCATCACCCCAAATAGAAACTCCATATTCATTGAACAATAACTTCCCAACTCACACCCTCTATTCTACTTTGTCTCTATGAATTTGCCTATTCTAGGTACCTCATTTAAGTGGAATCATATAATGTATGTCCCTTTGTGTCTGACTTATTTCACTTAGCATAATGTTTTCTTTTTTTTT